CCAGAAATTCACCCCAATGCCTTGTGTAGAACTCATGAACAGTTATTATTGAAATACAGAGAACAAAAAAAGACCCAAAACATGCACACGTTTAAGACCAGCATCCAAGTAGTAGATTTCAACCCACATACTGACTGTTGTAAAATATGCAATGTTACCCGTGGAAGAAAAAGGAAAAGGACAGGAGTGAAAAACTCTCGTATTATACCTGTAGTATCCTTGAATCAGCCTCAATGCGAAATAGAAACCACTGATTTAGATGAACACTATAATATTTCACCAAGTGATGTCAATGACTATTCTGATTATCTAGTTGATGAGACTTCCGAACCTTCACCTGCTGAAAGGAATTTTGAATTTGAAACCAATTTGTATGAAAAAAAGGAACAAGAGACTCATGTAAAAGATAAATGTAATGTTGATGATTTATTGAGCAATATTGAAAATTTAACAGAAACAAGTAGAAAGTACTTCCTTAGTGAGCTCATTTGTACACTGTCAAATGAGGAAGTATCTGAACTTGCATTTATTATTGGGAGACAGCAGCAGCAAATTTTTACAGATGATATAGAAAATATTTCACAGCAATATACAAGCCATTCATTCTTGACAGAGTTAAAAGCTGAAAAATGGCTGTCAGAAAGAAACAGTGCTTTGATTCAATTCATTTCTGGGATCACAAAATTCTCAATATCAGATGCAGCTGAAAATATGAAAATAGCTGTTTGTCGAATAGTTGAGCAAGTTTATGCATTACGATACCAGAAACTTGTTGCACCAATATCATTTCTTCTATCACTTAATATCTATTCTAAAACAAGTAGCAGAGCTGTGGTTGACTTAGTCAGTAAAACAAGCCCAAGCGGAACTTACAATACACTGCAGAAGTGGATTTCAAAATCTGGAACATCTGCTCCACCATGTCCACCAGGTACAGTTATGGCTGCCTTTGATAATGAGCAAGTTGTTGCATATAAACGGGGTATAGCTCCTAATCAAAAGTCCAAGTGCTCAATTATTACCACTGTGCTGTATGCATCTATGTCATCTAAGAATACTATTCCCATGTTCATTCAAGAAATAGATATATTGAAGCCTAATAACTGGTTCACTCTGAATTTTTTTGAAGAACGTCTCAAAAGCATTAGGGCAAAACAGCATGAAGATGGAAATCAATTGGAGGAACATGTTATGAGGGACAAAGAGACATTTGTACAAGGTATCACTGAAATAAGGGAACAGACCTGCAAAGAATATGAACAGCTAGAAAAGCTGCATTTTGAACAACTGCACCATTTCATTCAGAATGCAATTGATGCTGTAAAATATGAACATAAAATGAATGAGGAAGAGGATTCTTATCTTGATGAAATTGACAAAAGAACACATGAAGCAGAGAGAAGGAAAGATATTTTAGTTTGTACATTATGCAATGCAGAGAATGGCAAGAACAAGATAGTATGTGATAATTGTAAGAGGAGAGAAGGACTTAAAGAAGCAAGAATCAAGAAGAAAGATACTGACACATGTGGAACCAACAAAAAAACTATGTCAAAAACTGAAGAAATAAAGATCAGCAAAACAGATGATAACCAAGATTCAAAATATGTCCGATACCAACATGTTCCATCCAATCATAAGGGGCCAACATCTACAACTTTAGGCATGCCAGCATTTGTCAACCCTAACAGCAATGAAACTGTGTCTTTAGTTCTAAGGCATATTGGAATCAATATGGGAATAAAAAGATATGGGGGTAAAGATCGTAGTTGGACCTTTGTCTGTTGTGATGGTAGACCACACAGTCTTTACCAAAAAATCCTCGAAGAATCTGTAATGTGTAACCATTGTAACCAGACATTTTCAACAAGGAACACCTATAAAGAGCACCACAGATTAAAACATCAACCTTTACGTCCTTTTTGTTGTAGGGAATTCGACTGGCTATACATGCGTATTGGAGGTGGTCACTTTGAAATGAATGCTATGAAAGCATTCTTTGAACTAAACTGGACACCCTTTTTAGAAAAATTATGTGAGCTCATGGGGTTTAAAACAGAAAATGCAAAACATTTTGCAAAAACTTGCAAAGACCATCATGTAGCTTGGCAACTTCTTCTTACTTTCCACACTTCCTCTCTGAAGGAGATGGTGATACCATTTATCAGAAGCTTGAAAGAAACGAACCAAGAAGCCACTGTAGAAAATTACTTCCGCTTTTATAAAGAATTTTTGGCACACAACTCTAACCATGCATTCCTTCATTTGCAAATATGCAGATTTTCCCAAGCTATTATTAACTTCAGAATGGGTATGAGACGTAACAATGCTGAACTTGTAAAAAGCGCAAAATATCATCTGAAAGAATTATTCTATGGACGCTTTCATCCACACTATCAAAACATTGAACTTTTTGACTGTATTCAGTATAAATTCATGCCTGATGAAGTAAAGAAAGTTTGGGATGATACCAATTCTTTCACAGTGAGTGGAGATCCATCAAAAGGGCAGGACCTTGATTTTGTTTTGGAGGAAAAGAACAAAGCAATTAAACAATATCTACCAAGTAGAACTGTGCCATCAGATGAAACTTGGAAATCAATTTGTTGTAACATTACTTTCTTTGAGTCTTTGCAAGATAAATTAACAGACATCCTTGGTTTATCAAAACAGTCAGAATATGGAACAAAATTAATTGATATCAACAATGCCATCACCTCCTACCGCCCAGTTTTAAGGCAACATCTGTCTACAATGAATGACGATCACACTTCTGTTTGTGGAAAGAAACTTCATTCAGAACTAAACACCTTTCTGGAACAGTCAACCCAGAGAAGGCAAGAGAAGATAAGTTCTTGTATTCTTGGTATCCCAACATATAAACCAACAGGTGGGCCAGTCTTTATCACACCAGATGAGGAAAAAAAATATGAGAAGAAAATGACAAAGGCTGAATTAAAAGACTCAATCAAAACAATGATTGGAAAGCTTTTTCGTAATGTTGAACTTCAGACTCATTATTCTGCAGTTTTAGACAGTCTGAATGATAGTACACAAACAAATAAGGATACCTATCTCAATCTTTACTTCGAATTACAAGATGTAACTGACAATATTCAAACTGAAATTGATAGCTTTGAAAATGAATGATATAAATTATAAACCAGCTAATACACATGGTTACTAGTAATTTGCATATATATTTAGATTAAGGTCTTTTGCTGGGCATATTGTTGTTCTTGTCAGATTTTCTGAATCTTCTGGTTTTATTCATTTGATATTAAACATAAATTATGTTCCCACTATTAGCATCCAGTTTTCTGTTCATAAATCTATTGCATGCAGAATAATAAGTCATTTGTTTAAATCTTAAAAAAAAATGTTGGTTTTTTCTTTTAATAAAATTTCTTTATTGATAAAACTAAAAAAATCCAAGAGGGAATACTTTTCCGACCGTATTGTAAAGTCTTTGTCTTTAGAAACAAGCTCATAGTTCTGTAGTTTTGTTTCATTCTTTATGGTCCTTTAATAATCTACTTTCAATATTAACTTATTCACAAAATAAGTGTAATTTAAGCTTGTTATTTTGAATTTCAGAGCGGCTAACATCCTTAATAAAAAAATCATATTATTACGTATTTGAGAGCATTTAAACTCAAAGAATTTATATCGTTGAAATTTACTAGTTAATCTACTTATTTCTCAGTTAATATATTTGTTTGAGAACATATGCCTCTAAAACAGTTTATACCTAATTATAAATAAAAGTAATAATCTATGAATTTCATATTTATGTCTTCTTTGTTTTATGTTTTTATTTTTACTAAATATTACCAAACAAAAAAAAATCATTCTCTCAGATGTAATTTTATATCATTTTTACAAACTGTTGAATGTTAAAAAGGTGCAAATGTAAGAATTATCAGGCATGCTAAACTAGCAAATCTAATTGGGACAACCACATATGAAGATGAATCAATAAAAGAACCAAGCACATGTTTAAAGAATTGTAATGATACTTAATGTAAACAAACTTGCAAAAGCTAATTAGTAGCAATGTCAAAATAATAGGATCAAAAGCATCCATAACATTAAATAAGCCAGTTTCAAAGATAAATTTCTTATCTAAAACTACTTCTACACACTCATTGACATTGATCATAAATTACTGATAAACTTGTCAGCCTCTAATTAAGTTAAGCCATATATATATTACATGGATAATATTTCAGACTTCAGATATTTTTATCTTCACTTACAAATTTCAATTAGATTGTTGCAAATATATAAGATTAATTTAAATTCCATCTCAAATAAAACACATTAATTTCAAAACAGATACAATTTTGTCATCTTTTAAACCCCCCTTTTTTATTCTTTTATGTGTAGCTGATTTGTGATCATGTTTCATTGTATGATGTGGTATCTAGCAGCATGGGGTTAATTTAAGTGACATGTTAATTTGTAGTTATGAGGTTTACTGATAAAAAAAACTGATAAGGTGCCAGGATTGACTGGCTTATTTGTTAGGAGTGCTTTGTTGATAAATAAAGATCATCTGTTTCAACCCTGGTTTAAACATAACAAATTGAAATACCTGATATATTAATGCTAGATGCAATCTGCAACCTTGGGATATATTTAATTGAAATTTCTTGCCCTCATCATATATAATGAAGCTTCAACTTTTTTTAAAATCTTGGGTTGGAGACAAACTGGAAATTATCATCAGTTGTTAAATAATTTACAAACATATAATTCATTTCCATTTTTGTTATTTTTATGTTTACCATTATCTAGCAAGTGACACAGTTTTACATATTTGTTGTTTTTTCCATTCATTTTATTAACTTGTTTATTTTATATTGACCTCAAACAATTCTGTCATGTTAGATATGAACAGCTTTAATGAACTGTTACCTTAGAAAAATCTTGCAAATTTTTTCCAAAACTTGAGACACAATCTTTTTCAACTCCTCATGATAAAGTTCTGGACAAAATGCATAAAATATGTATATCATGCTATAACAACACATTTATTAATAAATATCTAGATAAAGAAAAATGCTTATAATTTTACTATGCCAGTCACACTTTTTGTCGCTACAAGACTCATCAGAGAGGCTTCAAATTAAAACAATTGTATACGTAAGGACAAATAGTGTACAACATTGAAAAGCTGCTTGAGGACCAAAATGCCCAAAAGGGTTTCTCCATACAGCTAAGGTAATCAGTTCCCTAGGTAGACAAATTCTTAGTATTTATATAACTGATTAATCTTTTTTGGGGGGTATTTGTTAGAATCTTGAAAAGGATTTACATCTTTTTTATTTTTCAATAGGGAAAACAATGATAACAGCATATCAACACCTAAGCTGATGCCAGGACAAAATAAGGAATATAGAACTCCAGATGAGGCATTTAATGCCTTAAGGTCCAATGAGAGAAGAATTAAATCCATGGCTATCAAGCAGATAGTTAAGAACATCAGAAAGTTAGCTGATCTGCAAACAATAGATCTCTCCCTTATATTTTGTGTAAGGGATGAGGTGCAGAAGAGGCAACTAATAAAATATTGTGGCCATGGAGAATTTCTCCACAGACTAAAAAATGTTGAGCCTGTGCTTAAACAGGAGGAATTCGTCAAATCAACAAGTTATGAGGAATTCCTTCCAAAAGTACAGGCTCAACCTATAAAGTTTGTGACACCATCCAAATTGTCATGTGGGCCTGGTGTGTCAAAAAACTTGGCACACCAACAGAAACAACAACTGGAGGATACTGAAGTCATTCCAGTTGAAAATGAAACGTCATTTACATTAGGTAAATAGAGAATTTATATGTTTTAAAAAAATCAACTTTAATTTCATTATGATTTAAGTTAATGATTTTGGAATTTTCAGAAATGATTGCATCAAAATTTTAAAATAATAAAAAAGGATAACAAGCTAAGGAACCGAGGTCAAAATGTGATTTTTATCTCATAGACAGTGTGTGATAGCACCACATGATTTATTGGTCAACATAATGCCCCTTATCAGATTTTATTAAAATCAAGTGAACTACCTATTCTAGCAAAATATTTCACTTTAATTGAAAAATTTGATAATAGATGTTTTCATCCTTACTGACTGTGTGTATATTATAAAATCATTTTATTTCACAGAAATAAATTCTCCTAAACAAAAGCAGAAGAAAAAGAAAAGCCAACCTGCAAAAAGAAAACTGATAAATGGTAAATGTAATTACTACTTTCCACATCAAAGTTGTCGTATATTTTTGAAAATGATTAAAAAAAATAGTTAAGGCATCCATATTTATAAAAAAAAACAGAAAAGAGGATGAAGTATAAATTCCAACAAGACAACTTTCCACCTAATGACGAGGACAGTAATTTAAATAGCTATCGGATAATGTATAGAAACAAGAATGAAAACAGGTACTTTCAAAAGTAAAAGAAAAAGAAAAACTGCCCAAGGACACCACTGAGACTCCACTGCAGAGGCCAGATAGAGATGGCCAAGAAACATGCATGTATACTAGTTCAGGAAAATGATCATCACCTTAGCATTGCTTACATATAAATCAAAATTTAAAAAAAAAATCTACAAGACTAACAAAGGCCACATTCTAAAGTTCCTGAGTTAGTGCAGGCACAACTATATGCATGACTTTAACCATTAAGTTAAACAAAAAAAAAAACGAAAGAAGAGGCAAAACTTAATCTTAAAAAATGTAGGCAACAGAACAAATACCTAGGATGGAAAAGTGTCTCATTTGCTTGTTTTTTTTAGAATCAGGAGAAAGGGATGACAATGAGGATGATGAAATTGGGGAAACAATTAACATGATTAGTGAGACCAATGAACCTGAGGTTTGTTCTAATTTTCATATAATTTCCCAAACAGCTTCTTTTTCAAAGTTCTATTGATTTCGCTCAACTAATTTAGTCGTCAGCATTATCAAATCAGTTTGTGTGTAAACCTTGACCAAAAACTTAAATTATGAATTTATTATTCTGTATGATTTATGTTATCTTGTTATGTAGAATTTAGTAGGATAGTGAATTGAGTGTGAGAAGTGTTTATACTAATTAAACATACCTCTTGAAATAAAGATTATTATTATTATCATAGTATCCATTTAAATTCTGTGTTTGAAATAAAAATGCTTTGATGGTTAACATTATATTTTTTGTTTGATAGCTTATACAACACATAGAGCCTTCCACTTCTAAGCAGAAAAGAAAGAAAGGCAAAACTCAACAGAAAAAACAGGCTGCAAAACCTAAATTGATCTATGGTAACTTAATTATCAAATACATTCATTTTTATCATAAAATTTTAAGCTTAATTTATTAAGTAGTACATTTGTAATGCAGTATTTTCTACAATATATCTCTGTACATTAACCTCAGTTTCAGGTATAGAGATGTGATCTTTTTCTGTGACAAGTACTTATGACCATCCACAAGAACTTGCAGTCATCCGATGATCAGTACTTCAGTACTTTGATTTCATATTGTTAACATGGATATGTATAATGGCTTTTTGGGAAATTTATACATTTTTTATGGTTAAATTTTTTGACTGATAAAGTGTGATTAATTGTTTTACCAAACAGAAACCTACTAATGGAAGACAAATTTTTTTTATACTAATTTTTCTTTTGAAATTCAGCCCTTTGCAAACAAATAGTAAACTTATCATCTTAATTTATGTTTCTAATCAAGAAGTGCATATTACAGATATTGACCCACCTTTTTTCAAGAATAATACATTTCTTTTTATTCTGTACTATTTTCATTTTTTTTAGATTCAAAAGAAATGAATGAAATAGAGAAGGATGTCACTGAGGAAGTGAATACTGATGTTAGTGAACCTGTGGTGAGTTTACAATTATTTTTAAGAGCAAGTAATACTTGCTTATATATTTAATATATATCATAAATAAATATGATTAATGCTTTATTTTATTTTCATAATAATCAGTTGTTAGTTTATATGAATATTTTTTGTAACAATTATTTATCAATTTATAAAATAACAAATTAAGACAAGCAAGTTATAGAAGCAAATTATTTGAAGAAGACCCCATATACTTTATTGTAATGACAGAAAGTAAAATTGTAAGTTTTATTATATTCCCTAATATATATATACGAGTCTTAAAAAAATATGAGGAAACATTACTATGCGCTTTATTTTTCTTTTTTTAGCTGTCTGAAGCTATAGAGCAGATCTCCATTAACAATCAAGACCAGCAAGGTATTTTTCTGTTTCTCTTAACTATAACTCAAATCTATAGGAAAGCAAAATCATTTAATTTTTTTGGAGTGTATTCACTTAAGCATGATAAGATAAGATCCCAAAATAAGTATTTGACAGACCGTTTAATTGCTGAAAACAAGTATTTATAAACAAAAATCCTATACACATTTATAACTGATTAAATGCACTGTGCTCCCCCTCCCCCAGTTTCACGGATATCATTGTATGGCAGATATATATAGCCTTCTCAGATTTCACTATAGATAAGAATTAATTTAAAGGTTTCTTTTCATAGGTGCTACAGAAAGAGATGACCAAGATATGCCAATCATTAAAGCCCCAGGTATTAAACTTAGAAACTTTGATAATATCCCAGTATTTATATTACTTGGTACATGACAACTTTTACAATTTACAACACTTAAATAATCGATTAACCATACTTAAACTGTTATGTGATTCTTTCATATATCATTCCTTCTTATTCATGTTATTGCCATTTTGAAGTTAAAAAAAATCCTGACAATTCAGTTGCAATGAGTTGTGCACTGAAACATGCCAAATGACAAGAAATAAGAAAAAAAAGTATTGAGTTATATTTGATAGACCTGTATGTAAAATCACTTAATATTTTAAAAAATCAACAGATACAAAAGCAATTTAGCTGAAAAATGTAACGTCTTCAGAAATAACAAATGTGCTTTACTTCATTTTTAATAGAAAAAAAGAAACGAAGAAATACTAAAAAAATAGATCAAAGAACTCCTTCCAATGACCATATAGACCAGGATGTATCAAGAGACATCCAAAATGTAAGTATTTATACGAACTTAATCATTAACAGAGAACAGTAGTTTACATATTTCCAAATGTAGACTTTTTATGAGGTAAACTCTACATGTAAAGTGTGTTTACATTATTGTTAACCAAATGTTTATATACATGTATTTGTTCAGTGTATGTTCAATGGTGTTAATATGTCCTTTGATTGAGTTAAGCTATTTCAGTTGATATTTTATAGTGTGTCTTTCTATGTTGTGATGTTACACTATTGTTTCAGAAAAAGGGTGAAGGTTTGGTACCATTAAAACGTTTAAACCCGCTGCATTTGTTTGCACCTGTCCTAAGTCAGGAATCTGATGTTCAGTAGTTGTCGTTTGTTGATGTGGTTCATAAGTGTTTCTCGTTTCTCGTTTTTTATATAGATGAGGCCGTTTGTTTTCCCGTTTGAATGGTTTTACACTATTAATTTTTTGGGGCCCTTTATAGCTTACTGTTCGGGGTGAGCCAAGGCTCCGTGTTGAAGACCGTACTGTGACCTATAATGGTTTACTTTTATAAATTTTGACTTGGATGGAGAGTTGTCTCATTGGCACTCATACCACATCTTCTTATATCTATAGACATATTGTTTGTATGCCCATATGCCCTCCTAGGGCCTTAATTTTGTTTATAAAATACCTATTCTCTATTCTTATATTTTGTATATACTAAAATAAAATAGTTTACATGTCATTAGTGTTCTAGCATTTATATTTTATTTCTGTTTCAGATCAAATCAAATATTTAAATTCATTTATTCTTTGTAGGATTCAAATTCCCAACTTGATCATGATGTAACTGCAGAGGAAGGTATGCACACATGTATTTAATGAATAACTATCAAAAAATGTCATTTGACTGATCATTAAAACTAAATAGTTAAATCTGATTTCTTAAAATTTTCTTCTCCAAATAATATATTCAATATTTTTTATTAAACTGGTAAAAGATAAATTGCCATTCCCTAAAAAAATTGCTGACATTTTGGAAAATCCTTTTTAAAATTGTAACCTTATTTCCTGTTTACAATTTTGTTTTGCCGTTGATTTAATAGATGCATATGTCATTATAATGAGTTTATTAGCATCAACAGCTGGTGGACACCACTTGCTAAAATAACTAGATAATAAGATTGATGATAAATTTATAGCTGTGGTTTTTAAAACCACTAAAACCCACTTCCTTATTATATTTTACCTGTTTTAAGATGCTTATGATTGCAAACCCTGACCTTTTGATATAAACGCTTAATCATTATATAAACTAAAAGAAATTAAATTGAAAATGAATAAAGATGAAATATATATGAACTTGTTATAAAATTTATTCTTCCAGATACAGAAACAACATGGGAGATAAACTCCTATTATGCAGTTGCATTTGAGGATCGATGGTATCCAGGAGTGGTGACTGCCATCGAAGGAGACAACAAGGACTGGGCCTCCATTAAATACATGCACCCTAGTGGTGAAAATTTTAAATGGCCCGGCAAAGAAGACTCTGCATTAGCACATATAAATGCCATGCTCTGCAGAGTCAATGTTAATAGCTTGGCAAATGGTCGTTTATGGACAGTGGCCAATATTGACAAAATTGATGATTTATACAAAAGTCAATCAGAACTACAAATTGTTGAAATTGATTATCAATAGACTATGTCGTTACTGTTTATAACATGCATCAAATTCTATCAAAGATTAAAATCATTTCAAAGTGAATTGTCCTTTATATAACAAAGAGAAAAAAAATCATTTGTTAAAGTATTAAAACAGTTTTTTTTTTTTGCTAGATTCAAAGATTTACCCAAGGAGTCAAAATATTTTTGGCTGTTCCTCATCTGATCAATGTCATTTATTTTTTTGAAACACATAAAATTCAATCAAAGCTTTTTGCTATTCATTATATCAAATTAAATCAAGAATGAAAACACATGTAATCTTTTCCTCTGTATAAATCATCAATTTTGCCAATATTTGCCATAGTCAACAATAAAACAGCCTTAGAAAATAGGATGTATATGTCCTTTATGCCATAAAGAGGTGGAAGATGAATTTCATTTTTTCATAACATGTACAGAACTTATTAAACATAGTCTTCTTGTGAGGAATGTGATATATTTATTAATTAATTATCATTGTTAACAGCATAAGTGAAATGTATAATGTAATAATTGTCAATATATGAACTGTGTGCGATTGGTGACTAACATTATAATGTAATATTTCAAGATATTTGAAATAATAATTTTATAGAGGAGGTATGTTGTATGATCTCTATTTTTTCAATGCTACATTATTGTATTGTTTTCCATCTATCATTATGTTATTTATATGTTTGTTAGTTTTTTGTTTATTTAGAAACAATCCTATTGTTTGGATTTTAAAACTAATAAAAATTTTTATTCTTATTCTCTGAGGGTTCAAAAGTCATGGGGTTTAATTTGTATACAACATTTGTACATTGAACAAAGAAATGACCAACCTTAAAACTTTTATTGGAATGAAAATGGAATTTTACAATAAGCACCATTTTTATTATCTTAGTAATAGCTTCCATCTATTACTGTAATGGTCCATTATATCAAACTTACAGCCCTACAGCAATGCTATTCCAGTTCAGTTCATACAATAGACATCTATTATATAAATTTAAAATGTACATTACGATATGCAAGTAGAAGAATTGTTTTACCTTTAATTCCTAGACAAGGTGAAGATTAAACTATATCTATATCATTTGTTAGCTTTCAATGTTGAGTAAAAAATAAATGAACATAATAAATTCAATTTGATAGATTTTATATATTTTTTGTTGCTGTTTTACTTTAAAATATATATACTATTAGTTTTTGGAGGAACAAAAAAAAAAACAACCTAGAAACAATTGGTTTTCTGTGATGAGGAATTAATTTGTACCAACTAATGGGAGATAACCCCTACTTCCTTAAAACAAATGTTATATTACAGAAAACAGTAATATTACAGATTTGTGTAATATTACATTTTAATGTAATATTACAGTTTTCAGTAATTGCCTGGACTGAAGCAAGCTATAAAAGGCCCCGAAAAGACAAATGTAAAACAATCCAATCGAGAAAACAGCCTGATTTATGTGCAAAACAACAAACGAAAAAAGATAAAAAAATTACACAAGATTAAATACATATAGAAAGCAAACTAATATGACACACTTTTTTGATTGAATTTTTCTTTTCTTCTGCTGTAACAAATTAAACTAAAAATATGTAGATTGAGTCTTCTTCTTAATCCTTGAAAATGATAACATTTAAAAAAATACCTATACATTGTCTTTTGAAAATGAAAATGAGAAAGTGTTTCCAAACAATTCATATAATATTAGGCTTTCCAACCTTTTGATGAAGGTCATACATGATACATATGTAATGCATGCTTAAATTGGAATTATATGTTAAAAATAGACACTTAATAACAAGCCTTCTGACATAGAACAAAAACTGATAAGCTTTCTTCTGATTGGGTATAGCCAAATACTCATGTGAGAACTTATCTAGTTGAATTAATCTTTTGAGTATTAAACTTTCCCAATATTACCTTTATCATTGGAAAAACAAGTGAAAATAAAACACCTTAAAAATCTTTCTAAAAACACTTTAATCAGAGTAACAACTGTTCTATGGAAGAAAATCAAACCATTTCATAAAAGACAATCATCATTAGTTCATCAGATGAAAATGACATCATTTCGTGTTTTAAAAAATGAATTGTGAAAAAAAGGACCTTTCTCTAAATTAAACCAACTTTTTTTCCTTTGACTTTAAATCATTTAACTATATAAATATTGAATTTCAAACTTTGAACTCTTAACATTTTTAGTATTTCAGATCAAGTGATTTCATTTCAAGGTAGAGCAATGTTGTAGTTGGGCAAAATGATTAATTTGCTAAACATACTTCAGACATATTTCATAAGAAAGCATCACAAAATGTTGTTGGAAAAACACGATCTTGTAAATATATTTTTTCAAAATGTAATATTCTTCTTTTTTTTAAGGAAAGATAAACCATCCCACCGTCCAGATGCCTGTCGTATTCATGGAACTCTCATTGTCAACAAAGTCGCAGGAAATTTTCACATTACTGCTGGAAAGTATGTAATGAATGTAGATGTAAAAATATCTATTATATCCTGTAAAAAAATTGTCACAACATTAACAAGGCTGACATAGGAATCCCCTCCAATATATTCAGTTTTTATTTTTTGCAAGTTTTTTGAAATTTTTGGGAATTTTTGTCCAAAAATTCTGCTTCAACATCAATCAAATATCAGTAATGACTTCTATCATACCTCCTCCTTTGAATGTTTAAATGAATTGTTTACAATTACAGATGATAACTTTAGTTTGTCCACAACATATTTATTTTCACTTTTGTAGAAATAATTTTGACCATAAAATACTGTTCAACACTTTTGTTTGACTGTGATGGTTGTTGTAACAGGGGATATGCCCATGAAAATGGGAATTTATTAAAATTGATATTTCAAGATAATAACTTCAGTATGAAATTATAGTAAATCATTAAAAAGGCCTTATTTGCCAGTTATAGAAAAGTCCATTTGAAATAGAAGGGAAATCTGTCTTAAAAGGGTTTATCCCATTAAAAGTCCAGTCAATTTTAAAATAGGCAAATGTAGCTGGAAAATAGTTTGTCCCACAAAAGTCTCTCCATTTTCAAATCAGGTAAATTTGAATTGTGGTATAGATTTATTAGTGTCTTCTTTGACTTGATAATGAAAAAGTATGTACTATGAAACTTAGTAGGAAAATTTGAACAAATGATTGGACGAAGAGTTGAAAATATGTGCTAACACTAAAGTAATTAAGTCTTAAAATACAAAAAGTTTTAAATGAAATAATGGTTTCACCTTTTGTGGAATCATTAAAGGAGGGCATATCAGGTTGTTAGTGTGCATTATTATTTTGCAACATTTATACCTTAAATTGCACCATTTTACAAAAATGTAATTATCTTGATGAATGATTTTACCAAAATATTTACAAGGGAAAAGTCATGAACAAATGTATTTCTTTCATAATTGTTTTAAATTCGTCAAGAAAAATAGACTTTTGAAGAAAATGGTTTTTTTTTCTTCAAATAATTAATGAAAAAGACTCAGAAAGGGGAGATTTTATTTGCATTAAGTAACTAAACATGGATCTGGGATTTCCAACACTTTTGTCCAAGATCAGAAGACATTTTTTTAATAACCAGATGAAATATCTTTTATGAAGTGCAGTCCATTTAAAAAAAAGGTAAATCTTATTGATAATTGTATATCTCAAATTAGATCAGTCCATTCCATCTCTAAGTGAATACTGTTTTCAAATCAGTGTATCAATCAGAAATCATGGGCTGATGAGCATGATGAGTAGCAGTTTAAGAGATAATACATGTAACAAGTATAACTAGATTTTTCTAACAAATCATTTTGATGAATTATTGAACAGTTTTCAGTGATGACATTTTATGTTAATATGATAGATTGTTCCCAAAATCTAGTATTTTTTCACTTCTTATATTTACTCATGATGAACTAAAGTGAGCTCATATAACTTTTTGATATTATTACATCTCTGCTGAAAAGTGTTTAATAATATAAAGCAGATGTTACCTATTTGGTGATTTATATTAAAAGTACAAATTGTAATTCTTTATTTTTGTTGATGTAAGACATATTATATTTTGTAATGAGGGGAAAATATATGTTTTTTTTTTAGAAAGTTTTCAAAATTTTCATTCAAGACAGGGTAGATTCAAGATATTTTTCAAAATATTCAACAGCTTAACTTCCGGAGCCAATCATCATTTACTGAAAGAAATACATATCATAGATTTGTTCTAATTGGGGATACATCTTTTTGTAATTGATCACTAATAGTGATTTCATTTAGAAACTTTTAATACATTTGTAACAGTAGAGCAAGAATTTCCTTCCAAAATACCACTATACTGCCCAGGACATTTTACATACAACTTTTATCAGTTTATTAATGGTTTTCAAGGTAATGCGATATCTTTCTGCCCATCCTTTCTGTTTTTGTTTTTATTCAAAAACGTAGGTGTAAGTGATGACAAATTATTTGAAATTAGAAAATAATCGCAACCAATTGCAATAAACATTAAAATGTTTGTACGAAAGTGATGAATTTATTATGCCCTCATTACAAAATGGGAGGTAGGAGCATATTGTTTTATCCCTTTACATCCCAACCATCTGTCCCACATAAGGTATGTGGTTTGTTCAGCTATTAAACTCCTCCAACAGTTTTCAACCATTTTAGGGTGTTAGTACATATACTAAAAGTGTTCATCTTGTCAGAATTTTTATTTGTTTATTTTCCACAAATGACAGGTTGTTGAACTTTGTCATTTCCTTGTCATATAAGGCATGCGGCATCACTGTTACAGAAGCCAGCAGGGGCACCATCTTTGTGTAACTTGTTACTAACTATTTCAATTGCTTCTATACATTTTTCATGAATATTTATTCTTTACAGATCAATACCAGTATTCCCAAGTGGTCATGCTCATATTTCATTTAACATTGGAGATAATGGTAAGAAAGAATGATTAAAACTTACAAATTGACTAGACAAATGGCACATTTATTTTAATAAAACATTGTTAATAAATGGAGCTTACAGGTAAAATTTAATGAATCAGAAACACAACAATACAGGAATAGCTGAAAAAACACATCTATATGCGCCATGCAGTCCTCATTAATGACGAGTAATCCACTAAAGCACACACCTGTGGAGAGCTATGAATTGCCTTGAATCCAGAAAAGTATGGAATGAATGAACATAGACTGTCAAATATCAGACAGCAATATTTAAATTCTCAATAAACTAGAAAAAATCTGAGACAAAATTCTTACTTGAGACAGGCCATAAAATATGTTGAAGAGGTTAAAGATATAAATAAGGAGATGTGGTATGATTGCCAATAAGACAACTATCCACCAGTGTTCAAATGAGGTGGATATTAGCTATTATAGGCTACCGTAAGGCCTTCAACAATGAGAAAAACCCTGACATAAAAAATGTGAAACAATTCAGAGAAAAAACACAGCCAATTTCATAACAAAACAATTTTAAGAAAAGACATTGCATTTGCCTTAACTCAAAAGATCGATACGAAGCACAAAAACAACAAACGTAAAAAAAAACAAAGCACCGATATAAGAGCATGCACAGATACTGAAAGCTACATTTGTAGTTTCAAATCCAATTACAACTAATAAATAAATCATGTTCTCTCAGGCTAAATGGTTGGGCATTTTTGTGATTACTCAAACCTTCATATATTACAGCAACAACTATATAATTGATTTTATTATGATCTAAAAATAAATTGAATCTCTTGACTTTTTCTAGCCCAGACGAGAGACAAACTTTTCCATAGTATTTTATATACTATCTGAATATACATTTATTCTGTTAATTGTAATCATCTAACAATTAACACATAATTACTGCTGTATAAATTTGTAATTTTTCTTAACTCCGATGATTTATTTCAGAGATGAATTATACCCATCGTATAAACCATTTATCATTTGGAGATATAGTACATGGTGTTGTCAGTCCTTTAGATGGAGAAGAAAAAATTACCAAAGATAGTAAGTTAAGGAGGAAGAGTTAAGTTAAGCGGCATAACTGTTTAAAATCATTGCTACATTTATAAGTACCATTTTCATAAGTACATACTAAGCTTCTATGTAACAGGGTTTAAGTAGTCCAACTACTGAAGGTCGGTGGTTCTCTCAGGGCACTCCAACAATAAAATTGACCCCCACAAAATAGCAAAATAGTGATGAAAATGGCGTTAACAGCAATCAATCAATCAATCTAAGTAATGAAAATTAGACATTTTAATAACGTACAAAACACATACGTTTAATCTGAAAATATTCTAAAGCGTACAAAAAGGATGAAAAAGTCTGATGTTAATGATTGACATTGGAGGGGACTTATGACATCAAACTGTTCAGGTGCAAAAGGAAAGAGCAATATTTCACAGAAGTTTCTTTTTTACACAAAGATAATTTTTACCAAAAGAGAACTAGTTTTTATGGTGACCTATATTTGCTTACATCTACATCATTTGGCATCTGGTGGATAGGTGTCTCATTGGCAATCATACCACACCATCATATTTTTATATTAATAACTATAAATTAGGGATGTCAACGAGTACTCGAGTACTCGAGTATCGCTCGGTAGTACAGAGTATCGAATACCAAAATGATACTCGACTAATCGGTTTCCTGTTAGAATGTTGTTGCCTTCTTAAAGAAATAATATTTTTATTAAGAGCGCCTCCGGGGAAATTAAGTATTAATCAAAATTAATCAAAATTAAAATACGTTTCGAATGTTTGCGTTTAATTGTCATTTAAAATTCCTCCGAGCATAGGTAGGCTATGAACAAAAGCACCTTTCCAAGGCTTACACTTTTAGCTTATCGTGTCTTAGTCATTCCACCACCTCTGTACCGTCAGAGCAAATATTTTCATCAGCAGGACTGTTAGTTGTGTAACAAAGCTGAGAAATCGACTCGTCACAGAAAAGCTGACAAGATAATATTTCTAAATAAGAACAAATTCGTTGCACCCTGTGTCTGCCCTCGAGTTAAAGGCATCAGTAAGTTCTAATCATCACCCCTTTGGTGATCATTAAATGTGTTTTTTACGATTCCCAAATACTATTGTTTGAGTAATCATTTTTCTATAGATTTTTATTAATTAATTGATTAGATCATTGCCAGTTTACATAATTAGTATATGTAGTAAATGAGCTATTAATTATGGTATAAAATTCCTGGGACTATTATCTAGTCCTGGGTAATAATGTTGAGGGTTTTACGTCCATAAGACAACGTCCCACATACGTAAAATGGGTATAATTTTGTATTTCCATTTTGTAGATGTTTTTCCTGAGCGAGTACTCGAGTATCGCTCGGTAAATCCAATGAGTACTCGATTAGTAAATCTTCACCGAGTTGACATCCCTACTTTAAATATATTCTATTGCAAATTTATATAATGTGGTATATTGGTATATACATTGCAACATAATACATTTCTTTTTGCAGATTATCATTTATTCCAGTATTTTATACAAGTAGTACCCACAGAAGTTAGAACATACAGAGCTAATGTTGATACATACCAGTATGCAGTTACAGAAAGGGTAAATTATCAATTAATATAATAAAATATTAAGTCCTTTTCAAATGCTAATGTACATATAGAAAAATTCTCCAGTATGAAGTTATTTAGGTAATTAATCAATTTGCCGTTTCAGAATCTGAAGGACTATGGATAATTTTATTGTTTGTACCCCAAAATGAAAATATTGTAGAATTATTGATTAAACTTAAGTTATTTAGGACATTTTTAGCCAGTCATTATGTTTTCATGTAAGCTTTTAAATATAATTGTGGATTCATTATTATTAGTGGGATACCATTTTTATGCCCCCGCCATAGCGGAGGGGCATTAAGTTTTACCCTTGTCCATACGTACTTCCCAAAGTTGGTTTCCGTTCTCTAACTTTAGTTTGCATCAACCAAATGTTATGAAACTTATACATAATGCTTATTACCACAAAACACAGATCAAGTTTAAATTTTGGTGGCATCACTTTAACCATCACTACAAACCAGTAAAAGTCTGAAATGGCCTATATCTGTACTCGACTGTACTGATTTTTACTCGACCAGTCTGAATTGGTCTGAACTTTACTCAACATTACTCGACCCCAGTCTTAACCATACTCGACTGTACTGATTTGTACTTGACTCTTATTTTTGCCATTGAAAATAGTCTGAACTATTACTCGACCAGTCTGAAACAGTCTTAACCCATTCTCGACCTGTACTCGACCTATTTTTTTCAGTCTAAACCATACTCGACCAAAGGTCTGAACAATACTCGACCAGTCTGAACCATACTTGACCAAATAATCTCTACTTTTTCTTAATTTTAACTGTTAAAATAAATTTCTTTTTAACTGACATGACAACAGCCACAATAAAATTAAGATATATTATAAAAACAGATTTTTACATTCTTACATGATTCTCAGATTTATCGAATAGAGATAGTTAAATCAAATTATCTTATATAATAATTTAATTATATTAATTTTAAAGTTTTAGAGTTTTGTTAAAAAAAGATTTTCTTTTACCTAAAAACCACACCTATACTGAAGGTAATTAAACCCTATTAAGGTGCTTCTTGTTTGGCATGTGGTTCTTTTTTTAAATTAATTTTCCTAAATTCCTAAATAAAAACTACATAGGTTTCATGGTTACATACAAAAAATGTACAATAGTTATATAATTATCTTTTTAATGAGGTAACAACAGCCAAGAAAATCACTGAAATTGTTTAACCTTATTTTAGAAATATATCTATTATTATAATTTGGGATATATTATATACAATATATATCAAAAAGGGATAAAAATTAAAAGAAATTAATAAAATTGTTCTTCTGATTAGTGGTGAAGTATAAAGTAATACCTCCTGCTTGGGGCAAACTCGTGAAAAAAGATCACACCTGGTCAGAGAGTATTAAATTCTAAATAACATTCATTCAAAATTGCAACATCCTGTGAAACTTAAATCGCAAGGCCTTTTGAATTCACTAGATAAGTAATACACGAGTTTAAGAAAAATAGGGCTTTCTTTTTACCTGTAAAACACACATGTACTGAGGTAATTAAACCTTATTAAAGTGCTTCTTGTATGCCATGTCTTTAATTTTGACAAAAATTATTTAAATTTAATTGAAATAAATTTTTGCTGTAACTTTGAAACACATTTCCCTTTTTAAAAGTTTACCACATGATTACTGTGGAAGTTCTATTATCATGATTATATTAAATTCTTGGTTTAACAAAACAAAGGTGTCATTTTTTAAATTTATTAAGTTGCTTTATATGCTATTTTATATATATTTTAATAAAAAAAATGTTCACTGCATTATTAGCTAAACTCAACTGACACCATAAATCTATACAAGGCTTAAGTTAATGGTGAAAATTGTCCAGTAACCATAAAATATATCTGAAACATTCAAAAAATTTTGAATAACATTGAAAATATAAGTCACAATTCAGTTTTGAGATTATTTGATCGGCTTGTTTTATTTTTATTTTAAAGGTGATATATATGTAGGTATATAAGTGTTGATGAATATGGTGATGAAGTTATATTATGTTTATTGTGAAATTTTGGTTTCAACGCTATATTGAATACATTTTTAATTTCAAATTGTTGTTCAAATTTCTAGCCAGGGGAAATAGCTGTTGTTAAAAACAGTTCCTAAATTGATGAAATACAATAGATAGATACAAAAAATAGGTCTAGGTTGGTTCAGACTTGGTCGAGTATGGTTCAGACTAGGTCGAGTATGGTTCAGACTAGGTCGAGTATGGTTCAGACTAGGTTGAGCATGGTTCAGACTAGGTCGAGCATGGTTCAGACACGTATAAAATGGTTAAGTACTGGTCGAGTAAGGGTCGAGTACAAGTTCAGACTGTTAAGTATGGTTCAGACTACAGTCGAGTATTATCAAGTAAATTTCAGACCAATTCAGACTGGTCGAGTAAAAATCAGTACAGTCGAGTACAGATATAGGCCATTTCAGACTTTTACTGGTTTGTAGTGCATTCTAGAGTTATGCCCCTTTAAAAATGGAAAAATTGCTGAATTTTTCGTTTCCATTCTCTAACTTAAGTTAGCCTCAACCAAATGTTATAAAACTTATACACAATGCTTATTACCACGAAACACAGATCAAGTTTGAATTTTGGTGGTGTCACTTTTACTGTTCTAGAGTTATGTCCCTTTACAAACAGGAAAATTGCTCAATTTTTGGTTTCCGTTCTCTGACTTATATTTGCCTCAACCAAATGTTATGAAACTTATACACAATACTTATTACCACAAAACTCAGATCAAGTACAAATTTGGGTAGTGTCACTTTTACCGTTCTTCAGCTATGTCCCTTTATAACTTTATATGATATGCAAGCGGGGGCATCATCTGTGTCCCATGGACACATTCCCCATTTATTTGTGGATTTCTTTTGTAGATGTTAACCACGAATTTAAATGTTCAACGAAATACAAATTTTCAATAGGCTTCTATGCAGACTTTTTTAAAACCATGAAAATACAAAGTTTCCTTAATCCATGAAAATTGATATCCATGAAATTAAATGAATCCACAGTACCTAGAATGCTTCAGAATTTGAAATGGCAGGATTAATAAACCAAAATATATCTTTTATTTTATTTTAATCAATAAATGGACTAAAATATTTTCCATTTTTAGACCTGATCAAGATATAGTTTTAATACAAATTTATTGAACTTGTAATGTTAGTTATCTCCTTTGAACTTCAAAGTTAAAAAAAAACTAAAAAAACTTGGTCATCAATTTTCAAAATGAGTTTTTTAACAAGGAGAAGTAGCTTCTTATTTTTCAACAAATTCATTTATAGAAAAATCTCAGAAATTATGGATTGAAAACTAGATCTTTATTAACACCATAAAATCATTGAGCAAAAATTGCTATTTTCTGTCTAAAGAGCTGAGATAAGGTTTTTACAATAAAAGTTGTCTATTTAAGACCTACTACATTTTAACAAAGATGTGAATAAACTCAACAATCAGGCATCAACTCAATAACACAAGTTTACAAAATAGACATGTAACCTACAATGGACAGGTACCCTAACCATATGTTAAGTTTGGAACAGCCCTCAGTATAACCAATGCAATTTTATGAATGAATTCAACAGAAACAACCTACCTCCAACCAGAACAGAAACCTGAAAAGACAATGACAAATACTGACAAAAATTCATTTTTAGCTCACCTGGCCCGAAGGGCCAAGTGAGCTTTTCTCATCACTTGGTGTCCGTCGTCCGTCGTCCGTCGTCGTTAGCTTTTTACAAAAATCTTCTCCTCTGAAACCACTGGGCCAAATTTAACCAAACTTGGCCACAATCATCATTAGGGTATCTATTTTAAAAAATGTATCCGATGACCCCGCCAACCTACCAAGATAGCCGCCATGGCTAAAAATAGAACATAGGGGGAAAATGTAGATTTTGGCTTATATCTCGGAAACCAAAGCATTTAGAGTAAATCTGATTTGAGTAAAACTGATTATCAGGTCAAGATCTATCTGCCCTGAAATTTTCAGACAAATCTGACAACCTGTTGTTGGGTTGCTGCCCCTGAATTGGTAATTTTAAGGAAATTTTGCAGTTTTTGGTTATTATCTTGAATATTATTATAGATAGAGATAAACTGTAAAAAGCAATAACGTTCAGCAAAGTAGGATCTACAAATACGTTGTCATGACCAAAATTGTCAGTCAACCCTTTTAGGAGTTATTGCCCTTTATAGTCAATTTTTAACAATTTTTCATAAATTTTTGTTAACTTTTACAAACATCTTCTTCTCTGAAACTACTGAGACAAATTTAACCATACTTGGCCATAATCATTATTAGGATATCTAGTTTAAAAAATTTGTCTGATGACCCCGCCTTCCAACCATCATGGCCGACTTGGTTAAAAATAGAACATAGGGGTAAAATGCAGTTTTTGGTTTATATCTCTGAAACTAAAGCATTTAGAGCAAATCTTACAGGTGACAAAAATGTTCAACAGATTGAGATTTATCTGCCTTGAAATTTTCAGACGAATCCGACAACCCGTTATTGGGTTGCTGCCCTGAGTTAGTAATTTTACAGAAATTTTGCAGTTTTTTGTTATTATCTTAGATATCATTATAATATCTAATATCTAATACTATTAATTATGATTTTAACCTTATTTTACATGATTTCCAAAGCATCAGTAAATACAGGTGAGCAACACAGGCTCTTTAGAGCCTCTAGTTTAATTACGTTGCAGGGTTAAACTAGTTTAGAAGTATTTAACAACCTCACTCCCATTACCTTGATCAGTGTATAATAACTATTAAATCTGTTCCAATGATATCAAGACTGGTTGCAAGATGGGAACATCTGCTTTTTAAAATGTAATTTTCAAGGAAAAGGTAAGGAAATTACTCAGTGTCTGTCCTTTAACCTTTTAGAAATTCACTGGTGTTGTGTAAATCTCTTGATGCGTTCTGTTTTCCTTTTCAGAATAGAACAATAAATCACGCTAAAGGAAGCCATGGAATCTCAGGAATATTTTATAAATACGATTTAAATTCATTGAAAATTCGAGTACGAGAACAGCACCAACCAATATGGCAGTTTTTGGTCAGACTGTGTGGCATTATAGGTGGTGTATTTTCAGTCGCAGGTAATTGTGCATTATGGTAACTTCATTAGTGTAGGTACTATAGATAGTTAGGTTATTAAAGAAAATTGTATATTTAGTTTACAAAAAGGCTGCTTAGCAATAGCAATACTCCAGAGGGAAACTGAACATCTTAAAAATCAGTCTAAAGTCTACACCATTTAACAAAGAAAAAATATCCACCTCATTTTGAATTTTTGAAATACTAAGGCTTTTCTACCTCAGGAATAGGTTACCTTAGCTGTATTTGGCAAAACTTTTTAGAATTTTTGGTCCTCAATGCTCTTCAACTTCGTACTTTATTTAGCCTTTTAACTTTTTTTGATTCAAGCGTCACTGATGAGTCTTTTGTAGACGAAACGCGCGTTTGGCGCAAATACAAAATTTCAATCCTGGTATCTATGATGAGTTTATTTACATATACTAGAAAAAAATGTACATATAAAAGAAATGGAAACTGCAATCTAAGCAGCTTTAAATTTGGAAACAATAAATATTACAAATAACAAAATAGTTGTGTAATAGATATATATATATATATTAGAAGGTCATAAAATCAAGTCAATTTAATATACTATAAATAACATACAAATAACTATTAACCATAAAATCAAGCTTTTTTATTGTTTTTAACTTCAAAGAGGTAAAGAGATTACCAAAGATATAAGGATTTTAAAAGATAATTTGCAGTTGCCAAAAATAGTTAAGCATGTGTTTTATATACCAAATAAGGGGTTTAACGCTGATTTTATAGTTCACAGAATTTAAAAGTGTGAAATAAGTACATTCTCAGTTTAAGGTTTTAACTTCTGGTTACAAACAATGTGAAATAAGGATGTTGTTTTTGCCAAAATGTAAAAACCTTTGAAAGGAAAAATAAGAATAAAACCAAGGTTTAAAATTTTCATAGTTCTACATGAATTCACATAATTAAAAGTATATTAAAATGTTTATTTACAGGTATGATGCGAAACTGGAGTGGATTCTTAGCTGATATTATATGCTGCAGATTTCATTTAGGAAAATATAAAGAAAGTGACAGTTCTTCACCATCCTCACAAATTTTCACACAATCATTGACAGATGAAAGCAGTTTTAACAATTCACCAAAAGTTAATTTATTACAATCTGGCACCTGATTTGAAATCCTAAATAAAATAAGTTTTTACATACTTTGTATTTGTCATGGCCATTTATAGTAAAGCAATTAATGGTTGTTCTGCTCATCTGCCATTTTTTTTCTCCCATTCAACAAAGTTTAACTTTCAAAAGCTTGATTTCAAGAATTATTCCTTCTGTCCATCCTTCCACATGTCATACAATAACTATAGAATACTTTGATAATATTTCATGGAAGCTTGGTAACACTGAGGTTGTGAGGTCAAACCCCAACCTTAATTGACTAGGATTGCCAGTTGTCCTGCCAAAGGTTCAAAGTTCTCTCTGGATTCACCGTTTGATTTTATTTTTTTCTCTGTTTTTTGTACCATATTTATGTGACTATGTGTCAGATTTAAGGCAACTTGTAACATATCACCAACCAATTTGAGTATGTTTGAATCAATTAGCTTGAAGTTTTAAGGTGTAGTAAGGATTGGTAAATATTCTTTTTGTCATTCCAGATATATGGGACATTAACCAACAGATTTAAGTCAATTTCTCATATGTTGCAAACACTAGCTAGTGTATTTAGCATGATTTACTTGAAATTTGACACTCTTTTTTTTATTTGTACTAGTTAGCTATAATTTGCTTTTGAAAATTTTCCAAATTGTCACTCCAGATAAACTTGTACAGTCAAATTAAGGCAAATGTTCACATGTTGGAACTGGCTGGAGTATACTTAGCTCAGTTTACATTTACAATGGTGTTTGAATGTATGACCCCTTTTGATATTGTAAATTTTCTGATTTTCTATTCCAGAATTATGGGATTTTAGCTTTCAAATTTAAGGCAATTTTATGAGCCCATTAAAGACAGGAGAGCATTGTTTACAGAGGCACTTTAAAAATAGAGTACTGTAAATTCAGAAATTATTGCGAGGTTTATATTAATGCGTATAATGCCATTCCTTGAGTATCGCAATAATAAGAACTTGCATTCTGATATCTTATACATATATGTGCATGTAACTTTTTCTAAAATCGCAATAATTTAGCTCGCATTTTTATTCATTCTTTAAAAATCGCAATAATAAATGCATGCAATAATTTCTGAATTTACGGTTACCACACATAAAATAAATTTTGGAAACATGCATACATTTTAAACTTGAACAACATAATATCTCACACCCACCAATAGTGGCAAATTTAAGTTGGCCTCCCTGGGTCCAAATTATTTTTTTTTTGGAACAGACATTACAATTACTGGTAAGGATATCGTAATGCTAGTTTTTCTGCAGGTCCATTTACTAACCTCTGTTTTAACATGTTTAATGCCTTTTACACAATGCAATTTAATTCTTGTAATAATTTCAAAATGCATACGACAAGACTTATCCTGGCACAGCAATTTATTAGAAATAACAGTTTTTAAACTGCTTCTTTTCTCAAAGGAAGTTAAAAAAAGAATTGACTTGTGAACTTGAAAGTGCATTTCACAAAGACTGATAAAAATTCTTTGCAATTTGTACTTGTTAAACTTTAAGTCTTTTTAATACCCCTGCTCCAAAGGAGGAGTTACACCAATTTACATATCTGTCTAATGCAATATTCATCACATTTTTCATGGGAACTACATATCAGACCTTCCTGAAGTTAGGCATCAAGCTTCAAGTATGACTGTTTATAATAAGGGCTGTTCCAAAAAAATTTTGGAGGGGGGATAGGATTAACTCAAATTAATTAAATATGGGTGGTTGCATTTTCCTGAGTATTTTGTAAGAATTATAAGTAAAATGATTAAAGTTCAGATGCTGAAATGTGTGGCCTGTTTTACTGACCATTGATTTTATGTTGATAGTCTTAAAGATATAGGTTTTACTACAAGTATCACATAAGCTTAACATTTTTAAAGATCCATGACAATGTGGTCAAGGACAGATAAATCCTGTCAGACAGACATGGTCACCTTACAATTATACTATACACAAAATATAGTTGACCATATTGCTTATGGTAATTGAAAAACAGACCAAAACATAAAACTTAACATTGACCAATGAACCATAAAAATGAGGTCTAGGGTAGATTATACCTGCAAGACAGACATGTACACCTTACAATGATTCCATACACCAAATATAGTTGACCTACTGCTTATAGTATCTGAGAAACAGACCTAATCAGTAACTTTAACCTTGATCACTGATCCAAATAATGAGGTCAAGGTCAGGTGAACTCTGTCTGATGGACATGTAGACGTTGCAAGGAACCCATATAACAAATATAGTTATCCTACTACTCATAATAAATGAGAAATTCACATGACAATAAAAAAATAAACTGCTTCGCTGAGCGCAGCTGGATACGCCCGCAGAGGTCCAACCCTGAACAGTTGGGGCAAAAATGGACACAATATTCAAGCTTGATACAGGTCTGAATTTGGATTGTAATTAAATATTTGACATATTATAGGTTTCTGAATAAATGTAGTCAAAAATTAAAGATTTCTTGCTGTTGTGCAATACACTGTGCTGTTGCACAATACTTAGTAAATCTGTTGTCAGACTATAAACAAATAAAGTTCAACTAATTCTCAATGTCATATTAGAAATTTATGAAAATGTAAAGGGAGCTTACATCAATAGATATAAACAATTCACCAAAGTTTCATGAGAATTGCTGACAGCATTTTTGAGTTATTGTCCGAAAACTGGAAAATCCCCCCTTTTTTAATGAATAAAACCCCATAACTCAGAAATGTAAGATGTAAAATTTAAAAAATTCTAAAGGGAGCTTACATCATGGATATAAACAATTAACCAAAGTTTCATAAGAACTGTTGAAAGCATTTTTGAGTTTTTGTCTGAAAACTGGAAAATCCCCCTTTTTTTATGAATAAAACCCTGTAACTGGGAAACATAAAATCTAAAATTTATAAAAATCAAAAGGGAGCTCATGTCAATAGATATAAACAATTCACCACAATTTCTTGCAAGTTGGTGAAAGCATTCTTGAGTTATTGTCCAAAAACTGAAAAATCCCCCTTTTTTTAATGAATAAAACCCCATAACTCGGAAACGTAAAATCTAAAATTTATAAAAAACGAAAGGGAGCTCACGTCAATAGATATAAACAATTCACCAAAGTTTTAGGCAAATTGTTTAAAGGGTTTTTGAGTTAATGTCCGACATGTTGACGACGGACGGACAGACGGACAGACGGACAGAGGTATACCATAATACGTCCCGTAAACGGGCGTATAAAAATCTATAATTTTTTTTCAAGCAGTTGCTGAACCATGAAAATGAAGTCAAGGACAATGGACATATGAAGGACAAACTTTGTAACATAATGTATCTGCATACAAGGTATGAATCATCCAGGTCTTCTACCTTCTGAAATATAAAGCTTAATACAAATTGTTTACATAGCCGCAGATGCCTGATACTAAACCCTATGTCCAAGTGTTGATCTTTAGGTGTCTTTTGGTGTTTTGGTTTTTTGATTTGTGTCTCATTGATGGATACCAATCATCTGTTTTTGTCATGTTGTTGACAAAAGTGGAAGTATGTGAGATATAGGGTGCTAACCCTGCAACAGTGGTTACGAAATACTAAATGTACAAATGGTAGCTTGTACTGTACAATGTATATAATATGTTTTGCATGATCATGCATACATTTTTTAAAACAGAATTATTTATGTGAACTTTATTTCATTTTAGACATAAACTTAAACGAGATATTATAATTTTTTGGCAGCTCTAAGTTTAGCAGATCTAGCTCTGGGATTCTCCCTGCACTCTTCTTCATTAGGATGCAAAATTTTCCTAGAAATCGGAGACCATTTCCTATCATTTAACATTATGTTCAAGCTGTCTACATCATACGCTTCATTGAATTTTCTAAATTTGTCCCTTGATCTTGATTTATCCCTTAAAGACATGTTAAGTTTCTCGTCAATGTCAATACCATGAAAATGACGTTTAACAATCCGATCTTCCAAACTATGAAATGTTAGAGCAAGACATTTCCCTTCTGGTTTAAGGAAATGATGTGCTGCTATTAGTCCATTATGCAATTCATTAAGTTCATTATTTACAAAGATCCGTAAAGCTTGAAAAGACCTTGTAGCTACATGGGCTCTTCTATTTAATTTGTCCTTGTGGTATTTCCTATAAAAAGAAATAGTCAGAAATAAAATTTACATAGCCTCCAAATGATACATGTATATATATATATATATATATATATAATTAAATCTTTATAAATTTGGTGCATCTGAAGTGCTTTTCTTGACCAACTATGAGGGGCCTGATGGGTTATTTTCGTTCTTCGTGATCGGCGCATTTTCGCTATCGTGATCTGTTTTTCTACAGATGTATTTTTTATTTTATATTTTCGTGATCCGTGATAATGGAAATTTATTTTCTGTGAATCGTGATTGACGAAAAAATCAACTCGTGAATCGTGATGAGACCCCCCCCATCAGGCCCCTCAACTATATAATCAGGAATGCTCAAACCCAAAAAATTGAAATCAAAGGGTGTATAAAGACTTGCATACTTCAGGAGCTAAATGACTGAAAGGGACCTAAACAGAACAGCCAAATCCATCTAAGGACACTAGTGCCTAAGAGAGTTGGAATCTTAGTTTCTTAATAATTTCTAAATTGAACAAGGGAGAATTTACAAAAAATATGTTATTAATCATGTCAGAACAGAATGCATGGACTACAGAGTTGATGACACTCTCATGGAGCAGCAGTTCACCAGAAGCAGTATGGACCCACTGTTAGAAAACGAAAATAAAACTTCACAGCATCTTAGAGTACTTTTCTTAATTTACCTTCACCTGGAATGTTCCAACCAAACAAATTTGAAAGCCAAAGATGTATTAATACTTAAATAATTTTAAATACTTGAATTATGCGACCAAAAGGGACCTAATTATAATAGCAAAATCCAACGATCATGTTGTATTATCTCTACATGTCATTGTGTTATTTTAACTTAATCTCATTTTATGTTAGAGCAGTGATACAGTTGCTTTGCGATGCATGTACAT